TTTACAAGCTGATACTCAGATGAATGTTGAGAGGAACTGGCTCTAGGTTTGGCATTATAAACACAGGGAGCAAACAACACTGCTGATTCTATTGAGCTTGAATTGTAGGCCCCTCTGAAATTGAGGTTTTAGATATATTCCATATGTTGTGACTCTAAGCTTGCTCAAAGATCTGGAAACATTTCTTAAGTACATAAATATTTCGAGAACTTATCTGTGAAGGTCATCAATATCCAAGTAAATGTTCACTTAAAAATCTGGTAAAAAAAACATCTTCACATTGTATTTATGATAACTCACTTTACTTCTACAATATCTGCTATTAGGCCCACAAGGAAAATTTCAATTTTGATCAGTTCCTAAGCCCATGCTCATCAATAAAGTTTGCAATTGAATAGGTTCACTGTAGCACAAGAAACATACCAAGTAATGAAGCATGTTAACTCATCAAATTTGAGTGTTTGCATGCCTCTTAGAAAGATGTGTTTGGCAAGTAGTTTTCATATATATAAGTTTGGAAAGTGGGCTGGGAAGGTGGCTCAGTGGTAGTATCCTTGCCTTGCATGCATGAAGCCCTGGATTAGATTCCTCAGCACCAGACAAGCAGAAAAAGAAAAGCCAGAAGTGATGCTGTGGATCAAGTGGTAGAGTGCTAGCCTTGAGCTGAAGAGCTGAGGGACAGCACCCAGGCCCAGAGTTCAGGCCCTATGACTGACAAAATAAATAAATAAATAAACAAAAGTTGCAAATCAATTTGTAAAACTAAATGAAATTAACATAAGCTTAATGTATATGCATTTAACAGTTGAGGAGGTATGGTAGGGGAGTAAAAGGAAAGTTTGTGTTCAAATTTAGGAACAGTATAAGAGATAAATTATGCCATTCCTTCCTGTAGAAAATTTGTAGAGTCAAACTCCTGTGTATTCAATTTATTTTGGTTTTATAATTTCAGACTTGTAGATGCTCAACTTAACTGTAGAAAGCTCTTTGGTAAAGTATGACTAAATTAAAATTTATGGGTCCCAGCTTCTTTCACTCATATTACAAAACCAAATAGGATCCTCAAAGACTCTTATCTAACATTGCTCTATGAAGGCTGCAATTATTAATTTACATATGGAGATTATATTTTCTCATATTTTACTAAAATTATGAATTACTAACAGTTCTGTCTGATTAGGAAGCTACAGTTTATAAGAATAAATTTCATTATCAACAGAAAATTATCCCATTTTCCAATAAAATTGGTGTTGGGGAAGCAAAAGAGAAAGGAAAAAGGAAAACAGTTTTTAAAAAGAGGACAAATAGAGATGCCATTGCTAGACCATCAAAATGCCAGTGTTAGACTTTAGCTTTTGCTACTTTATTTTTAAAGTCAAAGCATAGAGCAGGGATGAAACCCTTCTTGGAAAGAGTCAGTGTGTGTATGTGTGTCTATATACTTATATATCCACTTTGTTTATATAAAATTACAGTAACTCATTTGGATTATCTTATTTTACTGCTTAAGAATTTCACAAAGAGCTTAAGATGGTAATGATGCTTGAGTGTGGATGACCTTGTAACCCTACGGAAACTGATCCAGCCTGCAGACATTATTGGCTATCATGTCAGAGGGATAATATATGTAACCCAGATGAGAAAAGCCTGAGTGCTTCTAAACATTTCACAGTGTCCAGGACAGCCCCCATCACAAGAATAGTCTCATCTGAAATGTCAATAATCTTTCTCTAAGAAAGTCTGGCTCTAAAAAAAAACCCATATATGTAAAGAATATGAGTAGGAAGGCGTGTATGTTGGTTTATTGGTAATGAATAGATGAAGAATAAGTGGCTTGTACAAACCAAACACTATACTGCTCCAAAATGAAGAAATTCCTCCATTTGTAACCATATGAATGAACCTATAGTGAAATGAATCCAACATAGAAACACAAACATCAAATGATCCCACTCTGGTAGAATCTAACAAAGTTGATTCATAGAAGTAGAGGGAAAGAACAGAGTGTACAAAAGGAGGTGTCAGTGCTGATCAATGGATGCTAAATTACTATTGGATAATAGCATGACTCTCTAGCGTTCTATCATAATGTGAGAGTAGGTAACAGTAGGTAAAGAATAAGAAAGGATTTTGATAGTGCCAACAACACAATTTGTCTGAATTGATTGAAACATATGATGTATACAGTTATCAAAATATCACAATATTCCATTAATATATATAATGTTTATGCATTTATTTACCAGTTGAAATAAACATTTCTTAAACAGGAGTGGATCTCATGGAAGTAGAGAGTATAATGGGTGTTTACTAGGCCAGATATGAAGGGAGTGGATAAGGAGAAGCTGGTTTAAACATATAATTTTACCTTGATAAGAGGAATAAATTTCAGGAGATCAATTGTACAACATTGTAACTATGCTTAATGACAATACATCCTGATTGAAATTTTTAGAGTCTATTTGACCTATATTCACTGTTAAATGATGACTAAGGTGAGGTGATGAATTTATTAATTAGCTCTATGCAACAATTCTACAAAACACATATGCTTCAAACATCTGGTACAATATAAAATGTGTGTGTGTGTGTGTGTGTGTGTGTGTGTGTGTGTGTGTGTGTGTGCTTCGTAGGATGTGATAGTTATACAATATGTCTGGTGGAATTTTTAAACAAAAATATTTTAAATGAAATAATTTACCATAAATTTGCCTACACGTTTCTTATTTGCATACGTTTTTAAGAAACATTTAGTAAGACTTTCACAGGTGAAAATTAATAGACAGCCTATGATTGAAAATTGTTCTGGAAATAATTTGCTTGAATCTATAACTACATAGTCTGCAGTAGAGAACATGCTGTACAATCTTCCCTTAGGAATTCTGGACCACAGAATTTCCTTCACTAGCAGTGTTGTATCCAGAACAGTTCAGCAAAAGATTTTCTGCCCAATATTAAACATAAATGTAGCTGTTTTCTTAAGGAACAATCACAATTTATTATTGTTGTTGTTGTTTTCTACCATATAACTTGTTGATTAAAAAATTTAAATAGAGTTCTCTCTGGAAAATAATGTCAAAGTACTCAAGATGGAAAACTTTCGTACATTCTATTTCAATCCTGATTGAAATAAAACCAAACAGGATTCTCTGTCATAAGACTATTGGTATTACATACTAAATTGTTTTAACTCTAAGGGACCTTGCTAGAGTGATAAATATTTAACTTTTATATTTAAGTAACTGTAAAGAGACCTTCATGTGGCAAAGTAAATCTGTTATTTCATTATATAGAGATACACTATTTTCATTAGAGAAATCTTTTCTTTTCATTTTAATGATATTTTTAGAATTTCAATTATTTGTATTTAGTAAAAGAAAGTAGAAAGGACCACTAAGAACATGCCAAAATATCTGTAACAGGTTTTAAAACATGACATTATCCCCTGAATATGCTTGGTTAGACTTCTGTTAACTTCCTTCATGCTTCAATAAAGAGAGACTTTGTCCAGGGACTCTGGCATTCTGTTTGGATTTTATTAAGTGCCACACATATAAATCTGTTGTCACAATCAAAGGGCAATACCTGAAATCCTAAAAACACAACTGGATCTAAACCTTCATCTCAGCTACCACTGCTTCCGTGATACTCAGTGGAAGGAAGGTCTCTGGACTAGAAAGTCAGTATCACCTGGAGTTTGTTAGAAATGTAGACACTGCTTACACATCGGAACTCCTGAATCAGAATTTCCATTTTAACAGAAATAATCCTGCAATGATTCATAGGAACTATAAAGTTTGAAATGTACTATTTACTTTTTTCTCTGTATTTGCTCATAGCAAGTAATTGTCATTCCTCTTTGCCTGACAGTTTCCAAACAAAAGGGCCACAATATCATTTATAATTGTCTCATCCAAAGTCCCAAGTGTAGTACTTTCTATATGGTTAACAACTGATACCTCATTTTGTTGTTGTTTTCTTTTTTTATTATCTTGAAATAGTTGTACAAAGGAGTTGCCACAACTATATTCATTTGACAATATTCATTTAACAATGAATACAATATATTTTGGTTAATAGTGCTCTTTTCTTTTTTTTTAAATTGTGAAAATACCATACAGAGGGGGTACAATTACACGGGCAAGATATTGAGTACATTTTTATCAAGCATTGTTGCCTCCTCCTTTGTTTCCTCTTCCCATCCCTTCCCATATATCTTTATTAAACCTATTTAGTGAACTGAGAAAATTCCATGCAATATGTACTTTTAAAGTTTCCATAATGCAATCTTATTTTCTTCTAAATGGTAAGTACTGCAAAAGTAGTTATTACATCTAATAATAATGTTTTTTAATTTTCAACCAATACTTAATTATAAATATATTATATAAAGGATAGAGTGTAAAATTTAAATACATGTATACAGAGTGTAATGAGAAAATTAGTGTACTTGCAATATTCATCACCTTACATATTTTCATTTTCTTGTGTTGATAACATTCCAAATGGATGTTTAATTTAGCACAGTATGTAGTTTTAAGTATGATTCTATTCTTAATTAATTTAGTTTATAAATACCTAGCAATATTTATGTAGCAAGAGATGGTTTGTGTTGTGCAAAAATATTAACTTAAAAGTGTTGGTTTATATAAATCTTTAGTAAACCAATACAGGGTAATTTTTAGTATTGTATCATAACAGCAGTAGGCCAAATTATTGATGATTAATATGCTTCCATTTATTTAAACTGCCAATATTTAAGCAATTTTCTACTTTTTTTCTGATATAAAATTCTTCCAGGTGTTTCTTTCCTTTAAATAAATTTTGTTATAAATATGATCCTGCCTGGTACAGACATAGAAGATTGTCAAGATAGTTTACTAAAAGCCTACTCTGTATTTCATAATAGGAATGTGTTGGCAGATTTCAATTTACATTATGTATGGGGCATAATTCTCTGCTCTGCTAAATTTTTTTGCTCTATGATCTTATACTTAAAGGGTGGGAAGATCCCAATCCGGTGGACGTCACCAGAAGCAATAGCCTATCGCAAATTCACATCCGCCAGTGACGTCTGGAGTTATGGGATTGTTCTCTGGGAGGTGATGTCTTATGGAGAGAGACCCTACTGGGAGATGTCCAATCAGGATGTAAGTTTGTGTCTGTAGTTTATGAATTATGAGTTCAGATTAAAAACTCAAGCTGAGCAAGGAAGTGGAGCATAATGAAGCCAGGTGGCTCCTGCTTGTTGACTTTGAAGGGGCGTTCTTAAGCACTTTTCCTTACTTAAACTTAAGACTTCAAAAGAAAAGTAAGACAAAAGCAAACCATGCTCTACAATGTGTTCCCTAATAATATATTTAGTAAATTGAATACAGTTATACAAATTGGAGTATCTGAATGGAGAAAAGGATCATGGAGGCTTCTCATTAAATCCCAATATGATTTTTTCTAGATAATTTTGTTTAAATAGCTTATGTTGTGCCAATGCAAGATTGAAAATTTTTCTTTATTTTTCATCAGAAAGATTAAGCATGATTCTCACATACAGACTAAGTGGCAAGTCAAGATGTTTTCAGTCATTTTTTTCTATTCACTGCTTATACAACTGTTTGTGGTGTGTGTGTGTGTGTGTGTGTGTGTGTGTGTGCGTGCACCCGCGCAACCGCACACACACACGCACACGCTCGTGCCAGTCCTAGGGCTTGAACTCAGTGCCTGGGTGTTATACCTGAACTTTTTTGCTCAAAGCTAGACCTCTACCAGTTGGCGCATAGCTCCACTTCTGGCTTTTTCATAGTTAACTGGACATAAGAGTCTCACAGACTTTTCTGCCTGGACTGGCTATAAACCACAATTCTCAGATCTCAGCCTCATAAGTACATAGGATTATAGACACGAGCCACTGGTGCTTGGCTGGTAGAGTATTTGGATGTGCAAATTATCCTGTGCTGTCCATTTTGTGTCCATTTTGATAAAATTACTAAGAAAGACATACTCAGTTTTTCCCACACATCTTCCCTCCTATATTGTATATATAGCAGAAGATCACCATGATGGGTTCCAGACTAGTAGCTTCAACATAGCCTGAGGACCATGAAGTCTCAAGTCTCACTCCAGCTGATAAAATACAACACTCAGTGACTGAGGGAATAGTAGTCTTTATATTTATAATTCTTGCAGATGTTTCTAATGCTTATTAATATGTATTTTATTATGCATATTAATATTTTAAAAATACTAATGAACTAATAGCTACTAAATTGTATAGTCCATAGGATTTTACCCAGGAGGGTTACTATGCTGTGGGTCCATTTGAACTGTGATTTCACTAAATCTGTACACTCGGTAAATTTAAAACACAAATTTTTATGTCAACGTGAATGAAGAAATAAAACCAGCCTGCTCTCTGAAGTCCCTGGAAACTTTGCTTCTCATACAGGTAATTAAAGCTGTGGATGAGGGCTATCGCCTGCCACCCCCCATGGACTGCCCAGCTGCCTTGTATCAGCTGATGCTGGACTGTTGGCAGAAAGACAGAAACAACAGGCCCAAGTTTGAGCAGATTGTCAGCATTCTAGACAAGCTCATCCGGAATCCCGGCAGTCTGAAGATCATCACCAGTGCTGCAGCAAGGTGACACATTGGACTTTGCATACCACACTCACTCTGAAATGCATGTGGTTCCCATCTCCAATATGCTTTCCCGACTCTTCCCCTCACTCCTTTAGCTGCGTTATTTGGAAGTTGCTTTTCTCAGGACCAGAGATGTGTGGTTTCTGTTCTTTGGGAAAGATTCTCAGACCTCTTGTTAATAATCATGACAATTCTGAGATTTTTTAAAAACCATTTTCACTGTCTGGAAGTGTCTCTATATGCAGCATTAAGTCTGGGAAGTAAGAAATCTGAGCATATAGCTTCTTTACATCTTCTATTTAATAGAGAAGGAAAGAGAGGGAAAGGGGAGAAGAAAGGGGGAAGAGGGCAGAGAGGAGGAGAGGGAGAGGAGAGAGGAGAGAAGAGAGAGGGAGGTGGGGGGAGGAAAATCCTTCTCTAATAGCTTCCAACTTTCAACACTTTATTAGGAAAAACTAGCAAATGCTGCTCTTCTGTCTGTTTCTGTGTTAGATTTTTTTTTTAATTCCGTGTGTAAACGAGTTCATACAGCAGTTGTCTCTATCTGGCTTATTTCACTTTATATAATGTTCTCACAATTTGACTATATATACATATATACATCAGATATAATATGTGATAAGGAAATGATGATAAAATACATCACATTTTCTTCATCCATTTATATGTTGATGATATTCAGGTCATTTCATCTTTTGATCATTATGAATAATGCTACCATGAATGCATAGATACAGAGATATCTTGAAACTATTTTTAATTATAAATTTTAAATTTAATTTTTATTGTAAAGGTGACATACAGAGGGGTTACAGTTACATAAGTCAGGTAATGAGGACATTTCTTTTGGAACACTGTTACCTCTTTCCTTATTTACTGATTTATTTCTTTTGGATATCCACTTATCATTGGTATCACTGAGTAATATAGTGTTTCTACATTTTATTCTCAGTAATGTATCTATGAACTCACATTACTCCAACCATATCTACATCCTCATTACTTCTTATTATCTTTTTCTTTTTTTATAATATAATGTCACCCACACTGGGTGGAACATGGTTTTTGTTTCCATATTCTTGGTGATCAGTGATGTTAAGCAAACTTTTATTTATTTGGTAGCCAACTGTGTGTCTCCTTTGGCAAAATATCCATATAGGTCCAAGTTTATAATCAAGTTAATTTTGTGGGAGGTGTTTGTTTTTTGCCTTTAAATTGTATGAATAATATATATTATGCACATCACTCATATTTTGTAAATATTTCTCCATTACATTGATTGCTTTCTCATTTTTTCTACTCTACAGAACTCTTTTGTTCGATGGAATCCCACCTATTTGTGGCCATACCCCCAAAATATTATTACCAAGACTAATATTGTAATGCTTTTTCTACATATTTTCTTCTATGAGTTTTATAGTTCCAGTATTAAGATTCATGTATAGGCTACTTATAGTAGAATACAGGAGCATCTTTCATCCAGCTTTTGCATTTGCATAAAACGATTAAGCAGAATCTCAACCAAGTATCAGAATGTGACTATAATAGTTTATTTGTTGAGTATAATATTTATAGGTCAGTAAGACAGAATGTAGTGTGATAGAACTGTAGATAAAGCATTCCATAAGTTACCCCATCAGGAGGAGTCTCTGTCCTAAACTTCACAGGGAGAGACAATGCAGACTCTTTTGGAAGTCCACTTGACAGTTTAACAACTAACAGGGTAACAAAGCTGTCCTTGCCAGGACCATATGGTCCTCATTTTACACCTTGAAACTATTTCTTTTGATCTTCACTCAGTATCATCATAGTGAAGCAAAGCAACTTTTCAATTCTTTTTATATCATCAATATACCGTTAAACCATATACATAAAATGGAATTATCAAGATAAAGCTAAGTTATACATTATTATCTGGAGTATTTAACTTCAATGTTATGGATGAAGATAGTTTTAATGACTGATCATGGTAGTTAGAATGTGTTCTAGCATCCAAATAGTACTATGCTTTCTTGGTTGATTTTTCTATTATACATAAAGATTTTTGTCTAGTTTATATTCTTACTTGAATAAATTCTATATATTTTGTCACAAAGCAATCCATTTTAGGTAAAACATAAACATTTTCTGTGAAGTGCTACTGGCCTTACTTCCCCTAAATGTAGAAGTCTGAAGCACTATATACTTACTTAATGACATCATGATGTATAACATGATTGTATCATTATGACATTCTTATGAACATGTCACATGAACACTTAAGGATTCCAGGAAACACTGTTTCCTTCTGAAAGAAAACTAGTTTTCCTATTGTTGGTGATAAGTACTCATTTATTTTTGCAACTGAATGAACTCAGCCCCCTTTGATTTTCCAGTGATGCCCTTGCAATATATTTGATCGCAAACATGCCAGCCTTTTGAATGGAAATTGATTAACAACAAACTGAATGGCAACTCTTCTGCACAGCTCTTTAAAGACAAAACAATTTAAATAAAATGAGAAATAACTGGTTGAGGAGGTCCTTTGGGAGCTAAGACCAGAAAGATAATAATTAAACAGCTGTTTTAAAACTCCCCTTACACATTAAAAAATGTTCTTAACCTAGGTAACTATGCTGAAAATATCTTCAGATAAGAACAGTTTTGGGTGCTTTAAGACATGGCAGAGACAATGTGATGGAAAAGTAAAAGAAAAAGCAAGAGTCAAGTTATAGACTAAGGAGAAGAATAGAAGCCAGAGCATTTGAGGCTCTGCAGGCCCTCATGAGGACTGTGCTATTTTTTTTCAAGTGCATGCGGAATCTATTAAAGCATTTGAAGCTCAAAAGTGAAATGATTTGATTTACATAACTGCTTTGTGAAATAAGGAGTGGTTGTATGAAAAGAGTGACCACTTTAACCTGTCAAGATTACTACTTCCATTTAAACAATCTAATAGCCTATGTTCACTTCTGGTGAAAGAAAAGAAAGGATTCTAAGAGGTGGAGACACCTGTCGGTCCTCTTGCCTAGGATTTATCTTTATATTATGTATTAATTGAAGTATTCTCTGTCAACAAAACTTAAAAGTTTGATACCATCATTCTTCTACAAAGTGCCACATGCATCTTTTTAATTGCTTTTTAAATCTGATTTTTGTGGGTGTGTACATGCATGTTGATTCTTTTTAAGTATCTATTCCCATCTAAAACTGGAAGCCCTTTGAGAATGTCATTTCTCTTGTATTGTCAATAGATGTGTATGAAGTATTCAACACACGAATCAATACTTTCTGACACCATTAGTAAAAGTCATCTGAACAGAAAAACATTTTCAGAAAGGTCTAATAATTATCCGTTTGCATCACATTTATTTAAAAACAGTTTCAGACTGAATAGATAAATTGGTAAAGAAATTGCTAAAATGTGGTAGAAGCTTAAAATATTTTTCTAAGCAAAATTTCCCATATGCCTTTCTATGTCATTTCAATTGCAAAAATATATTCCTCAACCCCATGACAGGAAACTCTTCCAATACTAATTTATACCTGTTAACAAGAATTTAAGATTCTAACACACTCCAATCAATATAGAGAATTATGTGTATTCACGGACCACAAAATGGTTTCTTTTTTTAGAAAAGTCGCATTATTCTTAAAGTAATAATGTTTTCAGAGTCTTCCTGGATCTAATTACCTTTATGGTAAAATTTTAATTTATCCTATTGTATTGCCTAAGTAACTTTTAAAAGTAATTGCTTTAGGGAAAATCATTTATTTTAATACTATGACAGCTATTTTTTTTAGTATATCTCTTCACTCTTGGTCTCACTTGTGGTGACAATTTATAAAAGAATTATTCCAGGCTGGGAAGGTGGCTCAGTGGTAGAGTGCTTGCCTTGCATGCATGAGGCCCTGGGTTCGATCCTTAGCACCACATAAGCAGAAAAAGCCAGAAGTGGCACTGTGGCTCAAGTGGTAGAGCACTAGCCTTGGGCTGAAGAGCTCAGGGACAGCATCCAGGCCCTGAGATCCGGTCCTATGACTGGAAAAAGAAAAATAATTATTCCTCCAAAATCTGAAAAGTGTCTGTATCATTGTTCCCTATATCTGCTTGAAGTGGGAGAGAAGAAAAACCAGATGGATAGGATATGCCAAAACATGCCAGAACAAAAACTCGTTCAGTTGTTTTAAGCAGTAATGAGAAGGGAAAGAATGAGATTTTACAATGACAAGATAAAACTTTAACAGGTTAAGAGAACTTTGTTCCAGAAGAAAATCATCCCCAACACGTTGGATATGTCCAAATTACATTGCATTGTATATTTCTGATACTATTTAGGAGTTATTAAAAAGAAATTATGAGAAAAGATTCTGAGAGATGATCTTGTCAAGACTAAATGTTATTTCTAGAAATGCAAACATATCCATGAGGAAAATGGGAAATCATTCCAGGTTCTAAGATCTTGTCCCAGTGGAATAGTCCTTTCTTTAAGAAGGAATAAATCTAAACATATCCACAGTGAAGAACAAGAAGATAGACTGGGTGAACATTGGTGGCTCATACATGTAATCCTCATTCATTGACAGGCTAATATTGGGAGGTTTGTGGTTCAAGTTTAAGTTCAGCCAGAAGAAATCATGAGACCTACTCCTCAGGTCAAAGCTGGACACAGTGGCTTATTCCTGCTTTCTTCACTATGATCAGGAAACCTAATATAGGCAGATTGTGTATGCTTGCATATAAAGTGAGGCCCTATCTCAAAAATAACTGTTGCTACCCACAACCTTGAAAAATGAAACCAGAGAGAGAGAGAAAAAGAGAGTAATGCAAATGGGGACCAGGGGGTCAAGGGCCCCCAGGTCTTAGACCCCGAGCTCCTGTAAGTAAGCCTATTTATTTAGTTCAGTATAGGGAAGGTTGCTATAGGCGCATGCAGAACACAAGGTATCAATCTATCTTATGATTACAGTCATTAACATGAGGTATAGTCTGTGTGCATAATAAGAATTGACTCCCTTAT